CAGACAGGTTAATACAGTGGAACACCACAGACACAACTTAGATCATGAATGTCTAATAGTAAAATCATTTTAATCAAAAGATCAGATTTAATGATCAGGTTCACTGGCTTACCTGTTTTCAAAGAGGAATGAAATTTTCTTAAGGAATAAAGCTAAAATATTTTAATATAAAAATATAGTGTTACTAATGAGATTTCCTAAATTTTCCCTTGAGAAACTCAGTTAACATTTAGAATGTAGCATGATTCTTAATTTCTTTCTGTTCCTTAAAAAAATTGACTCCTTAATCATGCTCAGCGAAATAAGCCAGAAAGAAAAGGAAAAATACCTGATGGTCTCACTCATCGCAGGAATTTAGAAAACCTAAATAAGGGGCCAGGAAAAAGACTAATTGTAATAAAGTAAAGATCAAAATCAACAAGCAACTATAGACCAGAGACACACTACAGTGAGGGGGAGGGGCGAGGAGAAGAGGGATTAGGGTCAGAATAAGGGGAATGGGAATTGTATGGGGAATAGAACCAAAATGAAAATGCATATACATTGTGCAAAAATGAAAAATGTTGTAAGAATTATATAAAATAAAATATTTTTTTAAAAAAGCACCATTTAAAGAATTGAGCATGGGGTAGACAAGTTCTAAAAAAAAAGAGGTTTGGAATGTCATTAGCCTTTTCTGGTTAAGGAAATCCTGGCAAGGATATTGCTAAAGTAAAAAGTACTTAAGTAAAAATAAAAAAAAATTGACTCCTTAAAGTTACACAGTAAAGGGCAGTTAAACTTCTTATTTGCACTGATACGTTAATATTGTCAACTCCTCCTATATAAAGTACCTCATACTGACCTCTCAAAATAATTGCTTCACAAAAGGTTTTGGCTAGAGGGCAATGGTCATCCTATATAAAATGAAGAAAGATGCTTCTACAATTAACCAAAAGGTTTATATGACTTGCTGGCTAAATAGCTCTGGACTGAATATTGGAAATCGGTATTCTGGTTTGTCTTCTTTGAAAACCTGGCGATTTCTAACTCTTTGTTGCATCATGTGTCCATGGTTCTGGTGGCTTGTGACACTCTGTCCTTGCCCTTGCAGATGGCCAAGCTGCGGAGCCTCTTCTCCAGTGCTGAGAACGAGCCCCCAGTGCCCCTGGTGGGGAACTGGCGCCCCCCACAGCCCATCAAGGGCAGGGTGGTGAGAGCCTCCTTCAAATGAGGTGATGGGAGCTTGCCCTCTTCAGGAAAAGAAATCTGCCATGGGAGAGCTTGGTTCTTTGCTCTTTTTGGTACCCCTTGCTCTAAGTATATTTCAGTTTTCCATATTAAGCAATGAATGGAAGAGATGAAATCACCAGGAAACCAAAGTTACTTTGCAAGATCTAATATGAAAACATTTGGCCTTTCTAATAATCATCTTTCCTAAAAAAAAAAAAAAAAAAAAGTAGCATTTCTAGTAAGATTTCAAAGAAGGAAGGAGTTGAAAAGAAAGAGAAAAATAGCTTCTGGGCACCATTTTCCTGTTATCTTAAATTTTACAGAGCTTCAGTTTTACTATTTTTACAGGTTGTCTGTCTCAAAGGAATAATGAGTAATTCTATATTTAGGAGTAGAGATGTATGAAGATCATATGTCAGTTAAACATAAGCCAGATATTAAAATGACAGCATAAGTTGAGATGACAGCGTGTTTCAACTCTTTAATAAAACTATCGAGAGTTTCATTATTTAATACAATTTCATCCACTAGAAATATTACCTGGTTTTGTTTATCAATACAAGGAAACACAGTGAGATCAGGAGTTTAAGAAAATGTTGACCTAGTATAGGAGTTTCTTCATAAGATAGTTGACTTTATCCTAACATTTTCTTTGCCTGAAGGGGGGCCATTTATTTTACATTTTTACTACTTTTATCTTTGCATGCTTGTTAAAATAAAAACTGCTGCTGATATCTTTCCAATTTGAGGATGGAATTAATGATTCCTAGAAGATGCAGGAATGAATGACTGCACTTGAAGAAAAAACAATTGTACTGCTCATCAAAACAAATAAAGAATGAATGCAGACAATCGAGTGTTGTGTTTTTTTAATGATAAAAAGGGTTATAAGTTTCAAAAAATGGTATAAAACAAAGTGGTAAAATTTCATTGTTTGTTTTTATAACTGTAGGGTGATAATAATGGGCTAAGTTTGAATTTTCTTGGCCACTACATTCTTCATGGAGCAGTTAACTCAATTAGTCTTCTGAGGAAATACACACACGAAGGAGGATTTGTGCACATACATTTGAAAGTTTGGAATAGTTTCCAGAGATCTCAAAGTTGGTTTAAGTTTCTGGGATTCATACCAGTACTGTGGGTGCTGCTTAGGGGCTTGGGATCAAGTCAGACTATAGCTTTTATGTCCTTATCTTTTTAAATGTGCATTAGGATGATAGTTTACCATGTCAAAAGTCCATGCACCAAGACATTCAAAACATTTAATATCTGCAAGCATGGCAAGCAGTGGCTTTGATGCATTTTTCATCACATCGCTGGCTAGTATGTTAACTTACTTTAGCAAATGGCAGCAATAAGTTCATTACTCTAAGGGATGAAAATGGTATTGGGTCAGGTGAGTCCTGTGATGCCAGAAGTCAAGTCATGTGACAGAGTCCTGGGAGGCTAAAGTTATTTAATATATTACCACTTGGGTGAAATAAAACCAGGTTGGTCAGTGCAAATGGATGTGTTAATTAAATCCCTTGAAATTAGGAGGTGTGGAGCTTTGATCATTAGTGGTAATACAGAGTTGATTCTCTCAGGGTACTCACTCAGTAATGTTTAGAGCACTGGAAAAATGTATCCAATATAACTTCTCTGTGGGGGAGGAACATATAACCTAGTCCAACTAAAATCTTACTTATTCAGGTTCACAGACAGCAGGTTTGGAATTGTTGTAAGGGAAAATATCCACTCAAAAGCAGCTATCTCCCTAGACCATGAACTCCATGAAGGTACTGATAAGAGTTTTATACACTGACATTCTCCTAATATTGTCTAATCTTGTGACTGCCATCTAATAAGCACTCAGTAAATGTTTGGTAAATAACTGATATCATGAACATGGGTGAACCCAGGACAAATACTCATTTTTTCCCCCGCAAACAGCACAATAAATGATTAAGGCTAATACTATTTATTTGTTATTTATTTATACATACAAGAGCTGGGGTGTGGGCCAGAGGTGCGGCGGGTGTAAGAGAAGTCACCAGAGACAGAGTGGGGAGCAGAACAGGTGGATCTACTGAAATACACTGCTGAGGGGCAACAGTGGAGAGACAGGAGAGGTCTGCTGCACCATGTGGATCAACTCCCCGGCCAGGGATCCCACTCATGCCACAGTGGCTGGTGATAGCTTAATAGCTTGAAAGCACTGAGACTTAACCCCTGCCCACCAGACAGGCCCAAGGGAAATACTGGTTTTTGTTCATTTTAGTTAGTTTAGAGCTCCTTGGGAAATGATCTCTTTAACTTCACATGATAGTTTTCCAAAAGAACATATTTTCCCCCTACTCTGGGTCATTGCCAATATTCACAGTTACCACCCAACATAAAACTTTCTCCCAAATTTTGTCCTTCATCAGGGAGGGGTTCATTTTCTTGATAATTCACAGCCCCCCAAGGGTTGCATTTCAGGCACAGGCAGCCTATAGAGAGGTTGTGGCTAGGAGATGCTATACTGAAAATGTTTCAGCAACTGCCAAATTTTGTTCTTCAGGGTATGATCATTGGTGACGTTTTACATTTTCAATAAAGGGCAGAAAGTAATTTGAATTAATGTTTCATAATATTCAGATGATTATATACTTAAAGCCTATGAATGGGGCATCACCAACAATAATTTGATGAACATATGACACTGATAGATTTTAACAATGTAAATATATTATAACCCCTACCCTTTTAATGGGGAGAAAGAATATTTTTATAAAGAAGAAATAACTATTCAGGACCACTGACCCAAAATCCCTTACGTGCAATCAGTGAATATTTATGTAGATGATAAGTATTCTTTTTTTTTTAAAGATTTATTTATTTATGCATACAAAAGCTGGGGTACCGGCCAGAGGTGTTGGGGTGGGGGTGAGAGGATTCACCAGAGACAGAATGGGGAACAGAACAGGCAGACTGACTGAAGCACACTGCTGAGGGGAGCAGCGGGCAAGTCAGGAGAGTCGTGGATTGCTCCCTGGCAGGCCGAGGATTGAACTTGTGCTGCAGTGGCTGCGGGTAGTTTCATAGGTTGCGTCTTAACCACTTGAGCCACCAGGGAGGCCCCAGATGATAAGTATTCTAAACTGAAAATGCAAAGCTGCTTTCAGTGTCTGACTGTAATCATTTATATAATTAAATATATGTGGTTGAATTTGGTCAACTATAAACAGTTCTGATACATGTGAAAAATTAGTATGTCAGCTATTTAAATAAAAATTGGCACAAATAACATTTGTCTAAAAAAAAATCTATGTTCCAAAACCATATCAAAAATCACACCTAAATAAAATGAATTAGATTTCAGATTCTAATATTTTTTTGATTTGATTTTAAAGAACAACTCTGGACGTGAGAAAAATATATTAGCATAACGAGAAAAGTGAGAAAAGACAAGGAAAGAATGATAATTGTGAGCATCAGATCTGAAACATTTTCAGATTTAATGTATACACATTTTATGATTTTTTAAAAAAGCTACACTAAAGTAGAACTTGACAAGTGCCAAACAAGTTTGCATGTTATTTTCATTTCTGTCACTAGATGGCAGCAAAATATTAAACAGTTTCATTCGGATCACTAGGTGGCAGCAAAATTACTAAAATGACTGAAATGAAAAGTCTTGCTGTGTTTTATTCCTTATTGTAGATCATTGAGTTATTTTATTAAAAAAATGAATACCATATTCCCTTTTCTCAAATGTTTATGATTAATCATTTATATCTATCTACAAAAGAAAAGATGGGAGAGATTCGTGTGTGTGTGTGTGTTTTGTGTGTGTGAATTTTAATAGCCTAATGGGAGACCTAGTCAATGAAAGGACAGTAGTTATTGAACTAAAACTTAAATAAATAAGAAATGAACATTTTACAGTCCTGTTCTGTCCTCAGGAGGCTTGGGTTCAAGTTATACAACGCTTGCTGTTTATGTCACTTCAGGCATGTTCATTTCTGTGCTTCAGTCTCCATCACCTGTAAATAGAAATGATATAGTATCTGCCCAGAGGTTGTTTCACATTTTAAAAAAGATAATGCATATAAGCCTCTTAAAATAGTTATTCTATCAGATAATAATAAAACTTACATTAGGGGTTGACTATTATCTTCTTCCGTAAGTTAATTTCACTTCAACGAAGAAGAATTCTAATGGCTTATTCAATGTCTAAAACAATGTTTCTCTCTTGATGTATCTGACGGAAGTTAAGAGAAGAAAATTTAGGATGGATGAGTCACAAGACTAGAAGCTGGAGGTTGGTGTAGAAATGATTAACATAGTCATTAAACCAGCTATAGAAATAAAAAATCCTTAGGCCCAGACTGATATAGCAACTATCAGGCTGTTAAAGAAATACTCAGAAGCACAGACCAGAGGTGGGGAATATGAAATGGGGGGCCATTGTAGATAATCACTGGCCCTTAAAAATCAAACTAGTCACACCCTAAAAGTAATTAATCCATCAATAGAGGATAATCCCCTCCCTAAAAGAACACACAATCAATACAATTTTTACACTGCCAAGATGCAGCTCTCCTGCCTGCCTGTGTCTATGCAGGTATATCTTTCTTCAATCTACCCCTATCAAACAGTCAGCTCTAGTCCCAACACTGCCAGCCGGTGTCTAACTGGATCTCTCTGAACAAACGTATCTCTTTCAGAGGCAGCTCTCCTGCTTGCTTATGTCTGTGCAAGCCTTTTCTTTCCTTTCTTTTTTTATATAAAAAACCTGCCCTTTTAGATATAACTAAATGTCTCTGCCTTATGAAGAAAGTTGCCATGTGCTGCTGAAAGGGGAACTCTGGTGCAACTTTTCTAAAGGGACCCCAAGGACCACATTCTCTTAACTCAACACCTCTCCAAACTGACATCATGCCTATTAGCAACATCATGAACACACATCTTAGCAATGCAGATAATATTAAAGCAGCCACTTAAGGGGGAGTCCCTTAGTGAGTTCCCCTCTGTGGCTGACATTGGAGGAAATATTGTTGAAAAACAACTAGGATAATTGCTGTCCCATCCTATGCAGTACAAAAACCAAGAAATGCCCACACCAGAAACCAGCACAGAGCTGGAAGGGGTAAATCCATGGAGACCAGAGACTTTTTCCTGAGGGTTGTTCTGTTCCAAAGCTCCACATCTGATTTGAGGAAGTGTACAATTAGCAAACATCCAGAAAATAAACCAAAGAACAGAGGCAGAGAGCCTTCGTGTTCATTCTGTTTTACTGACTTCTGAATGTTGGCAGGAAAGAGTCCCTTGGAGTGCTGCATGAAGTGGAAAAATATGTCCTTATCCTTAAATACAGAAAATCTCCTGCCACAAAATTAATTTGGGGCTTGTCTGGGCATGTCATAAAATCAGAATCCTGAATGAGGTGTATAAGTCAACCTGGGAGATGAGTTTATCCTTTCTAGGGTGATTCAACTCTAGTTGTACAAAAGGAAATAAAACAGTTTAGGCATAAAATCTAGGATCAAGGGAATGACGACAGAGCTCATGAGCTTGTTTATATTTGAAGCTGTTTAATGGTAGCCATGCAGCGACTTGACCAGGTAGATAATCACAGTTCATCAGCAGCAGCAAGAGGGAGTCAAATGGCAGCGTCACTGGGGACCAAGTGCACTGCAGCAGCATAAAACCCAGTGATCTGAAAGCTAATTTTAGCCAGAGGAGAATTGTCTCTGTGTAGTAAACAGGGAATCAGGTTCTCCCTTGTATATAAATCATTCCAGGTAGAGGACTCTGGAAGCTCAGGGAAAATACTTTGGGCATTAGTTATGCATATTCTGTGTTTCAACATGTCCCGTAAGTTTCTATCACACTCCTTCAATTCATTTGAAATTTGGATGTTTCCAAGCACATTTGTTGAAGGGAAGTCATTCCCCCAAGGGCTTGACTCCCATGAAAGTACATTACTAATGGAAGTATTTGAAAATACTATGCAACTTAGAGAATTCACACTTCTGCTCCTTTGTGCATGCAGTTTAACAGAGGATGCAGGGCAGTCACTAGGGCATATGGGTGGATCAGGATCCCAGAGAGAGGGGCTGGCAAGGCTAGAACATGTGTAAGTCAAGCAGGACAGTCCTGAGAAAAACAGAGCTAAACAGGAAAAGGTGCAATTAGAAAGCAATAAGGAGACTGCTGTACAGTGGATAGGGTTGGATTCTTCAATGGGAAACAGTTTTAGGAGTAACAAGAATACCTTTAAGTTCTATGTATAATGGAAGTGTGTGTGTGTGTGTGTGTGTGTGTGTGTGTGCGCGCGTGAGAGAGAGAGAGAGAGAGAGAGAGAGAGAGAGAGAGAGAGAGAGAGAGATGAATATGGGGACAGAGTTTCCAGGAGGGTAACAACTTTACCAATCTTGTTATATCACCGAGGCCCCAATACCTAACATGGTATCTGGAACCAAGTTGGTGGTCAAAAACTATTTGTTGAGTGAAGGGAGGAAGGGATAGATGACTGGGCAGATGGACGGACAGAAAGATAGAAAGGCAGATAGATCCAGGGATAGATGGATGGGTGGATGGATGGATGGACATACAGATGGACATAAAGATGGAAGGAGGGATGGGGCAATGAATATCCTAAAACACTCAATACTGGTCTGAGTCCATAAGATGGTGGGAGCTATGTCTTCATGCTAGGAAGGGCAGTGACTGCATCTCAAAAAGTTCTAGGAGGAAAGCAAAGACTGTTATTGCTGCCGAGGCTGCTCTATAAAGATATCATGCATGGAATGGGAGACTAGAAGCAGTTTTACACATATCTAAGCCTTGTCATTTGCAAATTCAAAGTTTCCAAACACATTTAACTTAGTATAGAAGAGACATATTTTTAAAGCTATAAAAGAAGAGTCTCCAATTGTATATTTGTATCTTTTTGCACCAGTGCTTCTAATGTGCATATTGAAGAGGCAGGTTGGCAATGAGTCTTTAAGTTTGGACTCATAATAATGGCATGATTCACTTCAATGCTGGAAGTTTTGTAAATTTGCCTCTATTTTTTTTTTTTTCATGTGTGACTTTAGTTCTCCATTCACTCAACTCCGTGTGAAGATGCTCACAGCACCTGCACATCCATCACAAAGAGAATTCTTCCAAACGTGTGCATCATGGCAGAGATGAGCAAAGCATACTTTTGATAATTCAATAAACTTTATCAACTGAGATTCCACCCTACTCAGCTAAACAGAGATTCAGCTCAGGTAAATTTCTTGCCCTCCAAAAACAAGATCATATTTGTACTCATGAATTTGTAATTACTACCTAGGGCTTATTTTATAATGTAGTTGGAAATTCTTTGCAAAAACTTGCACTCACATTAAGCTTATCAGAAATCACTCAGGGTCTATTTTTGGGTGGTGGTAGGGATGGTACATTGGCCCAACTCATAACTTGGGTAAATAAATCTCTAGCTCTCTATATAAACTTTTTTTAAAAATTAAAATAATATTTTAATGATATTTATTCAGAAGCCTAATTTCTTCCTTTTAATTTGTTTTCTCTAACAAAGGACCTGTTGTCAAGATTGTGAGGTATACTAAGCCTCTTGTCCTTAGCAGCTTAATTGATATGAAACATTGATTAGGCCCCTAGAGGGGTGGAGAGTTTCAGAGGAATTATGAAATAACCACAAAGCATAAAGAAGAGAGTTTGCAACTTGCTTAGTGAGTAATACTTTCAGCTGGGCAAAAGCATTCGATATTTGAAATGCGATTTTAAGGCATACACAAATGACTAAAAAGACCACTTCCAGAAAGGATTTTATGTTTCTCAGAAGTGTTTATATGTTCAATGAGAAAGAAATAAAAGAGGGCCAAGAATATACCTAGAAGCATTAAGGAGAAGAAAAAAAGAAAAAGTAAAAAGGGTGACCTCCAAATCCTCACTTGAGAGACATTATACTCTGGCTACTAAGGGAAATGCTTATCAGGCTTGACCATGGCGCCTAGCACACCGGGCATGCAACATATGTTAAACAGTGATATCAGTACCGTATGAAAGAAGGAACAGATAGCAGAACCAAGGGTACAGGCACCCTGCAAAACACGGCTCTGTGTCACCTGGACCATTAAGCCAGCACTGGACTCGTCTGTTTATTAGGCACAGAGTTAGTATTATCTCGTGCCACTTTAATATTGAGAGGGGATAAGAAACCCTAAAAATGGCTGGTATGGTGATATACCTTCTGTCTTATTATTGCAGACATAATTCTAAGTCATTTACTACAACACCATGAGACAGTAGCCTTTACAAGCATCTTGAAGACACTTAGCTAGCTCTCAGCAAGGCCTCCCCAGGTGGCTAAGAGCTCAAATGCTAGTGTTGAAGTACTTGATATCACACCTGGCTCGATCACTTCCTAGGGATCCCCAGCAAACTGACTTACACCTATGCCTCAGTGCCCCAGGGTTATAAGTAGGGCTACAGAAGACATTCAGAACTGTGCTTGAAGCATAATCAGTTTTCAGTAAGTGTTATTTTTATATAAGCACTAACTCCAAAAATACTCACTAAACAAATGTGAATTTTTCATCCAAGTTAGAGATACAGGAAAGCCAACTTATTATTTTACTTTGAGAAACACCACAATGGTAATTATGCCATTAGTAAGGAAAATGTGCAGAACCATAGCTGGTGGCAGTTCTCATCATAATGCTCCAGAGCTACCAATAGAATGTCCCCCTTGGCACCACAACGTAATCAAGTGAAGTTCAGAATAATTGTTTAGTTTGTTCAGGTTATGAAGTAAGTGTTAGATCCAAGTTTCCCAACTGGGGTCTGTTTTCTTACAAAGTTGACTCCCATTATACAATTCTCTACTTCTCTACTACAATAACAAGAATTCTACAGGAGAAGTTGACAATATACCAGGCATTATGCTAGTTCACATGACTAGGTCACATGAATTAGTTCATTTAACACTCATCAACATTGAGTACTTTTATTAAATTTTGGTTGTGTAAACTGAGGCTTAGGGAAGTGAAGTCAATCATTCAAGGTTATATAGTGGTAAGTCTTGAAAGCCCATTCCCAGGCTCTGGGTGAAAGTGTGAATGTACCTCTGTATCCTATGGTAGAGGACTTGGGGGCAAAAAAGAAAAATCAGGGCCAGAAATAAATGATTTTATATGTTGGGAAAAGGAGTTTGGGTCTTTTTGTGAAAGGTCATTTCTACAACAGTCAAAGGTAAGAAATTGTAGGAACAGTAAGAATCAGTCTGTGAAATTCTGCCAGTTTTCTCATCTATAAAATAAGCTCCAAGCTCCTTTTAGTTCTGAAACACAATATTGTGGCAGCTTGTGTCATTCCGTTTCTTACAACCTTTTAGTGGCTTCCCTGTACAATTAGCATAAGCTGTTCCTGGTACCATGCTGTATAAGGCTCTGCAGGCTGCCTGCCTCTGACTTAACCTATTCAATCATAATGGTCCAGTCACAGGATTTCTGTTCTGGAATTGTCCACTAGTAACCTCCTCTTATTGTTTCCTCTGCCTAAAATGTCCCTCCCCAGATCTTTCTTTATATGGTTCTTCATATGACATTTCCTAACTAGGTCTTTTATCACCACTGCCTCTAAAGTGACATCCCTTCCCTCATTATTCTCTGTCTCATTCCATTTTTTTCATGTTAATTACCATTACTGGAAATTTCCTTGTTCTGTTGCTTATTCTTCTATTGTAAACTACTCCGAGCCATCCCCACATAGACTCCATGTCAACAAGGGCTGAGTTGATCTGTTATGGCTGTAACCCTTTGCTGATGTATGGTACCTTATAGTATTGAGATTTGTCGAATGAATGAATAGATGACACTATATTTTATGGCCTACACATTATCCAAAATTAAACACATAATAGGAAATCAAAAACCATAGTAAGAATAACAATCATTTATCAAGTTCTAATTATTAGCATTGTGCTAAATCCTTTACAAAGTTTTTATCCTTCAGTCCTCACCACAACTCTATGAGGCAGTTATTACTATTATCCTAGCTTTACAGAGAAGGAAACTGTATATTTGCAAGACCAAGCTACTTGCCTCAGGTCATAAAGCTAGTAAATTAGCCCGATTCAAAAACCAAGTCTAATTTCAGCATAATGTTATTTGTTAACTGACTGACTTCTATAAAGAGAAACTGCTGTTAACTCCATTTGGGTTCGTAACTTTATAATTTCAAAGAGCATGACTTAGGGAGTTACCATGTCTGTCTTGGAGTTCAGGCTAGATAGAGGAGATAGGAACCTAGGCTACAGAGGTGAGTAATGTGATACTGTCCCCAATGTCAGAGGGCTCCTTTTAATAAGGAAAACAAATATGCAAATATGCTAGAATGGACATGGCCATGACCCAAATACTACTTCCCTTTCCTCACAAGAAACCTCAGGCTGCTGGAGTCTCATTCTTCTTAACTGTTCTCTTGCTTGGGTGTTTAATTTTGTATTCATTATATTACATTCTAACTGCTTAGTGCTTTCTAGGATAAGTTGAATGGGCATCATTTACTGAATGGCTTCATGTGACAGGTGATTTATATGTAGTCATTAATTGAATCGTAGCAACAACCCTGAGGTGGGAGCCATTATTCCTACTTTATAAAAGAGCAGTCAACAGCTTGTTGGGGGGGGGGTGGATTACAGCTTGATGACTACAATACAGTATCTAGTTAGAATACAGTATCCCCACTACTAGGATAGAGGATGTGTGTGGAAAGACCAATGCGAGCCCCAAGATGGTAGTGATTCTTAATCTCTATAAATATTTATTTTAATACTATAATGGTGACAAATATGAGACTATCTGTCTTACTATTTTCTAGCTTTTTAGTTAAACCATATAAACCAATAATAAAACACATATCTCAAACACTTCCATTTCATTTTATATTTTGACCAATATTAATATGTTGCAAGCTTTTTAAAATTGTAATAATTATAATGTATGTTTATTTATAATAATTATAATGTAGACTGCAAGATTTTTGTATTATATTTTCCTGATAAATCAACTGCCATTTTTAACTCATGGGGCAGAAAAAATAAGAATATTTTTTTAGGTACTGTACAAATTCTTTATTTAGAATAATTCTTAAATGAACAAGTCCTTCCCTATGGTAGAAACATAGGTGCTTGATAAGATTATTACTATTATCATTTTTTAAAAATCCAGTATTAGAGTAGTATCTTGTACCTAACTGAATCCTGAGGCTTGCTGAGAATGCCCCCAGCAAAATAAACGTGGATTCTGGTTGAGTTACATGAAAACATAAAACCATCTTCACCATAAAAAACAAACAAATGAACAAAAAACTGGCCAGAAAAAAAAGGCTAAGACTAATAAAAAAAAAAAAAAACATTTGGAACAAGGGAGGAGAAAAAACAAAGAGGGAAGGAGGCACACTGGACTATGGTGATGGAATATGGGTGAGTTAGTGGTGGGTGCACTATAGTGGTAATACCTGATGGGGGTACCCCAAATTACCTGTTAAAAATTAATTAATTAACTAATTAATTAATTAATTAAAGAAAATTTGGATTTCTGCTGAGTATTCAAAGGTGACTCACTTCCTGCCTTGCAGTGAGCATGTGACAGTCTCCCCAACAGCAGCTCTGCGGGGAGGGCCTGCTCCACTGAGAATTAGTTTTTTAGAAGACAGAGAGAAAGGGGAAATTTGAATAAGAATCCATTTTGTGAACTGCAGTTTGGTAGTGTTTGAAGTTGTAGAGATATTTAAAAATAAAAATATGCTGCCATTTCCTGTGTTGGTCAAGCCACAGTCCAACTTCACAGAAAATGAGAGACAAAGATTCTAGCAGGTTTAACTTCCAGCTACCCTCACTGAATCTTTAAAGCCCACTTTACATTTATAGGCTTTGTACTCAACTATTAGCACTTATCAGCTTTCTATCCCCAGGGCCTAGTGAAGGATCTCATAGCACTGAACACCCTCTCTGAGTTAAGTAAATATTTGAAAATTATGCAAAGAATCAAAATTATTTCACTGGGCTCAACAAAAGACTATGCAGCTGTAGAAGGCCCTTCTTAAGTATCAACTACACTTTGTGAAGGGCCCAGGAGCCTAAAATAACTCATTGCTGCATTTTTTTTTGCCTAAAAATTCATCTTAGAACAAGTAAATCTCAATGTGAAAAATATTTGTCTGTAAAGAACTAGGTGAAACAAACAGTAAATAATGATTTAAAGATTAGCATAGCAAAAACTTACACTAATGTTTTTATCCATTTAATATTAAGATATTAATCTTTATGTCAATGTAGTCATAAATATGTATGAGTGTGTATGGAAGAAAATACCCATTAATGCAAAAGTCACAATGCTGCCAATATCTCAAAATCTCTTCTTTTTTGGTAATTATTTCTTAGGTTTTCCAGATACCAAGTTTCCTTTGCCAGGAAAAGTTTTCACCTCTTTACAAGAAATTCTTTCTTATACCGGGTTTTTCTGAGAAAGGTGAATTTTTAGAAGTTTGGGTTGTATTAGATCAATATGTACCAAGCTCGTAAGTCCTTCCCTCAAAGTTAATTTTTAAAGAGAAGAAGGAAAGTAGGAGGATATGAGTGCTTCATATGATACCCTCACAGCTTGCATCGAAATGCAGTCTCGGGTGCTGGCCTCTCAGCGGACTTTCGCCGCAGACTCGTGCCTCTTTCTCGCTAATATTCCACGAACAGCCAGTAGGGGGCGCGTGGTTCTCTGCACCCGAAGCTGCACGCTCCCCAGCGCCTCAAGGACTGTATCCCTATTTGCCCCAAGGTCATAGCTCCTAACTGGGCTTGCAGCCCTGGGCCCGGGACACCAGGGAGCGAGCCTCCGGAGCTGGAGACCCTGGACCGGGCCGGGTCGTTAGGGTGGGGTAGGAGGTCACCGAGGCCAGGGATGCGATCACAATGGGGACCGAAGATGCCAGGCACGGGGGCCCGGATCCCCAGCAGTCAGCACCGCCGCCAGACTCCGCACCCAGGAGGGGGATGGGGTGCGCGTAGACGCTCGGCACCCCCAGTCCGACCCAGGAGCCCGGGTGCCGCCAGCTCCACCACCACCACCACCGGCGCCCAGCTCGGAGCCAGGTCTACCTGCCCAGGGCCCCGGGCCCCGGGCCCCGGGCCGAGGACTGCGGGGAACCGGGCGGCGGCAGAAGCGCCCCTGGGTCCAGCCGAGCGCCCGCCGAGAGGGCGTTCTCCCCGCCCCCGGCTCTTCCCAGCGGCCCGCCCAGACAGCGGGGAGATAACCTCCGCCCGCCACCTCCTCCCCCCTATCGCCCCGGTCCACGCTGGGCCCCCTCCCCCGGCCGCCCCCGAGCACAAGTTGGCGGGAGCCTATAAAAGCCGGGGACGGCGCGACCCGCGGACACACCGTGCAGGCTCCGAAACAGCCGCCGCTGGACAGGCACCAACTCCGGCTGTGCCCAGACCATCGGCGCGACCATGTCCCATCACTGGGGATACGGAAAGCACAACGGTGAGTGCCGGCGGCTGGGGCGCGCGGCGCGCGGGGAGCTGCGTCCCGGCCGGGGCCCCGCGGCGCCCGCACCTGCTGTTTACCGCCGCGACCGCGGGAACCCCAGGCTCAGGTGCGCCCCGGGAGTCTGCCCCGCCCGCCGCTCCCAGCGCGGGGATGTCCTTTCGCCCCGGCCCCAAGGCCACTGTCGAGGAATCCCCGCGGCTGGCGGCGGCGCGCGGGGCCCCGGGGAGGGGGCGCGCAGCCGCGGGACCCGACGACAGTCCCGAGCGGGTCTCGAGCCGGAGAGACCCTCCTCCCCGCAGCGAGGAGGGAGCGAGGAGGGCTCGTTACACATTTTTATTGTTGACCGCAGGGAATTTAGGGAGCCGCTCCCTCCCCTGCTGCATTCTCGGCACCACCTGTGGCTAAGACCCCGCAGCGCGAACTGTCCCGGGGCGTTTTTGTGGGTGGCTTGAATCCTTTGCGTTGGATTTTTTCTTTCACCTCTCTACTTATAACCTTCGGGGGTCACCAGGAATCGGACTATATAATGCCCGTGAATCTGGGTTTTCCTGCTTGTGAGAGAGAGGTGTTTGACGTATCTTGGTCATTTTGGGGAGACCTGGAGCTTCCCAGGTAGTTGGCTGAGGCCCGAGCAGTGACTCTGCCCTTGCAGCCAGCACTGGAGCCTGAGGAACGAGTTCCGGTCTGCTTCAATGTCCTAAGTGAGGTTGCATATCCCAAATCCTAATCACCGTCCTGAGGTGGGTGACTGCCCAGTTTCGTTTGTTGAATTTCAATAAACCGAGGCTTATAAAATAAGCTAATATTTATATGGTGCTTACTATTTATTCTAACAGTTTTAAATGTGTTATTCTAATTCTCACAACAGTCTTTACAAAGTCGATGTTATTATTACTTCAGAATACAAATGGGGAAACTGAGGCACAGGGTAAGTGTTTTCTCAAGGTTACTCAGTTGTCCAGGGGTGCCACCAAAATTGGAACAGAACAGCTTGGCTCCAGAATCTTTGCCCTTTTTTAGCAGTGTGACTGTGTCCTCTCCCACATTAGGAGATTCACTTGTCTCTTCTCAACCCTAGGACCTGAGACCTGGCATAAGGACTTCCCCATTGCCAAAGGACAGCGCCAGTCCCCCATTGACATTGACACCAAAGCAGCTGTCTTTGACCCTGCCTTGAAGCCTCTGTGTGTTTGCTATGAGCAAGCAAATTCTCACAAGATCTTGAACAATGGTCACTCTTTCAACGTGGAATTTGATGACTCTCAGGACAAAGCAGGTAGGTCAGTGTTAAGGAAAAAAAAAACCTTGTGCTTTGTAGCCAGTAGACCTTTCCCCGGCTTAAAAGGAAGAATAGGGAGCAGTGGCAGGAATCCCCTTAATACTACAATTTGTCTTAGTACTCGAAGATGCACTGCTGGTAATCTTCATTAGGTCCCACTCTCTGAGAAGTAGGCTAATTACTTTGAAGTGGCCTGAAGCTGTTTCTCCCCTGACAGATTCCTGGTTTCTTTGTAGGGCATTGAACAACTGTGTCATGCCTGTGAAAGTCACATAAAGTGAGGTACCCTGGTAATAAAGCTCAGCAATGATGAAATTTGCAAAAATTGAACTTATAAGATTCTCTCTAAAATAATTTGTTTTCCATATTTGATGCCTATTCAGAGTACTTAGAATAATGTTAAGGATAGCAGTGAGAAGAAGGATGAAGCTTGAAAATTTAAAAAATACTGAAATTCTTGGAAACACTGCCTTTCTGAGTATTTTCTAGGCATTGCACTACTCTAGTAAATGTGGGAACGCATCTTGATATCTACCTAGAAATTCATTCCACAAATACAGATGTTTTAGAGATGCTGGGCGAACAGCTATTGACAAAACCAATTTTCATAATTATTTGTAACAGAGTACTTATAGGATGCTCATTTACTGTCTTTTTCTTTATTTAAAAATAAAAGAACAGCCCCATTCAGACATAGCAGCAGCCTTCTTTTCCCACTGGTTGATATAATTGCCATTGCCCTGTTTTCCTGAGTGTTCTCTGAAGGTGAGGGAATGAATGATGCTACAGACCCAGTACGTGTGGTGGTGGTGTGGGAGTGGAGGATGAAGTGGGCCAAAATGGAAAAAGGTAGGGTAAACACTCAATAATGCTGTCAACAAATTGGAATAAGTACATCTAATACTAACACATAAATGCAATTATAGCTATTAGAGTTAAGTGGATTGTTACTTTTCATTAGCTTATCCAGTATATTTCATACAGTTTTGAAAAAAGTCTTCTGTCCTCCCCACTGTTAAAAATTTTTTTTTTTGAAACTTAACTTTCTGATATAGTGACTCTGGGAAATAATTCACTGAAGATAAATAAAGGGATCACTTAAAAATGTTTTCATCTACCTGTACCCTGTGTGTACTTCACCTCAGTACGGACATCATCCCCTCACACAAATGTCTTCCCTTCAGCATCACCCTCCCCCACTCCACACACATTCTGGCATGGTATCATGACTTACTAGATATGAGTATTAGATTCAGTGGAGAATATTCATTGAAGACAATCTCAGTGATTCTGCTACATTGCCTCGCCCCATCATGCCTCCCATGCAGGGTGTAAATGACTAAACTAAATATAAGGGAAACAATTTCTTCATGTAAAGAACACTATATATTTAGATTGTAATATTACAAGCCAAGGTCTTGGTGGTATTATATACATAGAGAAAGGGTGCTATAAAGTTTTGTGTAGCTATTTGAAAACCAAAAGAAGTAAGCTACTTTAGTTTATAGCTGTCAACTTACTTTAAAAGACAATGAATGTTTTCTAAATTCCTGCTATGAGTGAGACCATCTGGTATTTTTCTTTTTCTTTCTGGCTTATTTTGCTGAGCATGATCCCTTCCAGCTCCATCCATGTTGCTGAAAATTGCATGAGTTTATCTTTTTGATAACTGAGTAATATTCCATTGTGTATATATACCACATCGTCTTGATCCAGTCATCTATTTTTGGGCATTTGGGTTGTTTCCAATTATAATAAAGTAAAAATCAAAATCAACAAGCAACTATAAACCAGAGACACACTGGATGGGGAAGGAGAGAGTAGCATCAAAACAAGGGGGGGGGATTATATGGGGATTGTAACCAAGATGAAAATATATACATTGTATAAAAATTAAAAATGATGTAAAAATATATAAAATTAAAAAAATAATAATAGTAAATAAATTTTAAAAAGTTAAAGAAAAACCAAACAAACAAAAAAGACAATGAATGTATGTTTCAGTGTTGCCAAATAAATACTTTTTTCAGTGAATGTAATGGCCACCAATATATACCTCATTAGATGCTCCATACCAGTTGGGATACTTAAAGTCTTATTTTGAAACAAGGAGGAAACAAATGTCTAATGAATAGGACCAAAGTAGATAAAATCCTATATTCTTTACTAATTTAGTTGTGAAATATATGACTACTTGTCAGCATGTAGTCTGACAGCTGTGACCTTAGACTGTGGTAACAGACCTTGGCTCAAGTTCCAGCTCTGTCTCTCGGTGAGTGGCCCAGGATTGATAGCACTTAATCTCTTTATGTTATATTTCTCTCAACTATAAAATTGAAGTAGCAGCAGTATCTACCACAGAGGAAAGATTAGAAAAAAAGTACCTAGAGCAGTGGCAGGCATATAACAATTGCACCAAATGACTATCACTGTTGTCAGGTCTGCACATCGTTTAACTGCCTAAGCAATTGCTGTAATTCTTTTTGAAGATTTTTGAAGAAAATTTTTAATTAATGTTAAAATTACTTCCCATCACTTGATTGTAAAATTAAAATTTTTTTTACAAGTTCCCAAACATTCCATCATTTTAAAGCATGTGATGGATTTTAGAAATAGCTATTTAATTGCTTACTATGAATATGTCTAGTTCTAATGGATTTCTGCATGTGCAACAATTGATTTGAACTAGCCACACTTTTATAACTATCTCTGTGAGTAATACATAGATTTTTCAAGTAACTTGCACATTGAGATTGTGAAACAGATGAAAACCGAGTGGTTTAGCTAAGGGCTCTTACCCTGTGTCCTTGAGAGACTCGTATCATTCACCTAATTTTACACCAAAAAACATGCTTATTACACAGATTAAATGCATGTAAACCAGGCACTGTGAGGATGGGTTGGAGTCCTGGTCCCTGTCCTGTATCCCCAGAGCCCCCACTGGAGATACCTAGAGTCTAAAGACAAGGAAATAGAGACACTAACTGCGCCATTGATAATGCAACAAGGAGGTATGCTGTGGACACATGGAGGCTTAGGATTTGTCCTGAGTAAGTCAGGAGGGACTTTCCAGTGTAAATAAGGTTTACATTGAAGTATTTTGGTGTCTTGGAGGAAACACTAGGGACTTGAGAAAGCACACGATGTGCTCTAGACACCAAGGAGGTGCAGCAAAAACAAGGTGAGGGAGGAATGAATGTCAGAAAAACTTTCTCTTCTTGTACATGAAAGACTCCTTTGTAGTTTTGCCCATATCTCTTCCACATTTTCTGTTGTTTTTATTAAACAAGGAAGTGGAAGTTTTTTTCTAGAATGTAGAATATATGAAATGTTGTTATCAAGGGAAAAACATATCCAGAGCAATAAAAACCAGCCCAATCATACAATGCAGAGAAACACCCTTTTGACTTTATTTTTAAGCTCCTAGAGTCTCAAGTTAGAACTAGAGATACTCTAGTCCTCGTTAAACCCACTTAAAGTAAACATGAAGAAACCGAATACTTAAGGTTTCAGTAACTTGTTAGTCGTCATCTTCCTGGTGTGTTGTAGTGAGACTAAATGACAGTCACTTGAAAACAGATGTTAAACAAGAATCTTTGGATCATAACCATAGTTAACATTTAGTGTGTAAACTCCAATTAAAAGCTAGTATAATTTTCTGTGCAATTAAGTCTAAATAAAAATAATTATTTTGGTTACTTGATTTTTTTAAATAGACAGGTTACTATCATTTTCTGGTCAAAAATTTGTTGGGTTTTGCTTGTTTTTTTTTTTTTTTAGTGGTGATAACATTTTTAGATATCCTTTACCTTTTATTTTCTATATTTAAATGCTTCAGTTCATTTAATTTTTTACCCTCATTGAAATTTTAGCCTTCTACAACTCACAGATTCAGTTTTTTACTTCTATCATAAATATTATCTTATAATCCAACTTAAATACTTGGGTATTAGGAACTTGATTGGTTGAGTTTATTGCTATATTTAAGCCTGAGGGAATTCTTTTTAAATGTGAAAATTAAAACTTCACATTTAAATGTGGATTTAACTAGAATCTTGGGTTAAAGCTCTCATCAATCTTCTAAATTCTTTTAAAAATAAACCCCCTTAAATTAAGAAAAAATTTTAATCCTGTTTTTTTAATGATTAAAAATTAATTCTCCCTGCTTTAGATCTTTTATTACTAACTTTATCAGGGAGAAAAGAGTAGTAGTCAAATTATTAACTCCTGCTAACTTATTAACTTTTATTAATAAGTTTAAAACTTTCCTGCTTATAAGTTAAGGCAGATATTATTGAGAAATGAATGCCCAAATTATTGTGGTAACCCATACGTAACTCATATAATTTCTGGGGTTTTTTTTTTTTAGAAATAGGAATAGTGCAAAAATTCTTTTTTAATTGAAATAGCATTGCATTATAACATTGTGTAAGTTTCACGTAGCTGGTATTAAAAACTAACACTTGTATACACACTACACCAAGTTCCACACTAAAAGTTTAGTTCTATCTTTCATTATACAACTGACCCATTATGTTGCCTGCTTCCCTCCTGGTAACTACTAATTGGTCTTATCATCTAAAAACTTATTTTTGTTTTATCTCATTCATTCGTGTGTTTTCTCTATATACCACATGTGACTGAAGTCACACAGTGTTTTTCTCTGTCCGACTTAGAAGTTGGAATATTATGTTTGTATTATTTCAAGGAAATAGAAGGAAGCTGAGTTCACCTGTGCTCACATTCCCAGTAGGTCATTGTCTCTATGATATAATGGATCCTCATCCATGAGTCTTGCTTGGTTTCCAGGGGCTTGCTTTTTTTTTTTTTTTTCTTTTAAAGATTTATTTATTTATTTATACAAGCACTGGGTACATTCAGAAGCGTGGGAGGGTGAGAGAATTCACTAGAGCCAGAGCGGGGAGCAGAGCAGGCAGAAGGACCGAAGTACACTGCTGAGGGGAGCAGCGGGCGGCAGGAGAGGTCTGCGCGCCATGTGGGACCCTCCTCCGGTGGCCGGGGAGCAGAGGCTGCGGGCAGCTTCGCAACCCAGCGCTCAACAGCTGCGCCACCAGGGAGGCCCATCCATGGGCTTGCTTTTGAAGCCTTAAACATTTCCTTCAACAATAAGCTAAAAGGAAATACAATAACAAGTTTCAGGACTTGTCATGCATGCTGTTAGTGGTGTGAGCAGAACTGTTAATGGTGTGACGGAAGCATTATAAACACAGTGTTTAATTATGTTCATATCAAAAGAATTTTTTAAATTCTTATATAATTGCCACATTCATGAAACTAAAAACTGCTGTTCTCTTGAATTTTAATTGTGTTTACTCTAATGAAAGTGACAAGTAAACATTTCAGTACTTTTAAGAGAAATGGAATGTGCATGTCTTTTTTCTCAGATTTGTCTGCATCGACGTTCATTTTCTTAAGGTTACCGTGTAGTTCTATGATTATTGACTACTGCTAAAAAAGCACAACAATAAATGCAAGATTTAATGGTTTTCAAATTATTCATGGAGAAGATTGTTCACCTGCTAGAAATGATGTACTTTTAGTAGACTTGGTCATTTACTTCATTAATAGGAAATCCCTTAAATTTTGTTTTAAACTAAGGATATTGGAAATTGTTTACTTGTATTTTGAATTTCAGAGAGAATATTGACATAAACTAATGTCTTTAATCTATTATTTGTATGCATCTTATGTTCAGTATTCATGAGATTATTAGGAACAAAATTTTAAATTGTTAAAATTTCATTTTTAATTTCTATGGGTGGTTTGATTTATTTTATGGGTAGTTTGATTTATTTTAATATTCCAGGAGTAAATTTCTTAGCTTTCACAAACACATATAATTTGCATGATTTCCCCAATAATATATATATATATAAAATAAGGCAGGTTATCATGCTATATTTGGTTATTACTTTATGTTTCCTATATGCAGTATGTATAACTGATGGCAGACCATAAAAATTAAGATAGCTTGGAGCTCTTGGTGTTGAGATTTGGATTAAACTAAGTTTTGAGAGTATTGAGAAAATCCCATTTGTGTATCTCCACCTATTTTAAGTTATCAGCTCTCTAACATGGCTGGATTTGACAGAGAAATAATATGGTCAGCAATTTCTGCTAGCTTTTAAAATTGTTTTTGCATTAGAAAAGCAGGTTTTGTTTTAAGCTGGGGACAGTTTAGACAATGGCATTTAGCAATCAACTTAAGTAAATAAACAAGTAAATCTAAAATACAGCATAAACTTCCTTTCAAATGTTGTCTATTCTATTTCTCAAGTAAAAGATATATGTTTCCATTACTATAGATTATGGTAAATTACTATTATAATAATACTTTTTGAAGGTCTTTTTGACCAAACTCCAATCTACAAATTTGCTGCGAAATACCCAATTATTGAAGATGTACAGAAATGCTGCTTTTTTGTAGCAATTAAACTTTAAGGATTTCATAACCTTTCCAAATTATAATGGAGTTCTGATTTACATAGCATCCTAGTTTTATTTTAACAGCAGCTAAAACAGGTATCTGGTGATAATAGATTAGCACTGGGTATACTTAATTATTGAACCCAAGATTTTTCTCTTTCAGTATTAACAAGTCTTTAACAACAACAACTCATGTAATAGTAACAACTCACAGGCAGCAAAAACTTGCTTAATTCTAAATATTCTTGGAAACAAGTAAATTGGGATGGGATTTGAAGGACTTAAAAGAAGAGAATAAGAAATAGCAAGAAGCTTTATGATCTTTAAAATTTAAGATCCTGATATGACTCTTCACAGGGTAAAGGAGACACAAGTTAGTTACCTTGGATGTTGAATGTTGTCTTATTTAATTTTGCCACTTGGTAGAATGGCATTTGCCAATACAAATGGGATTTTTTTATGGTCAGTTCTAGCTTTATAAAGTTATTATAAAGGAATTACTTCAGGACCAAAAAAGACTTTTAAAAGTCTTTAACAGAATAATCAAATAAATTAATACTGCTACAATAAATTGTTTTTAGAGGCATAATTTTATCAGAATGTATCTATATTGATGTTTCTTAACAGATCTGTAATATTATAACACCATTTACAATTGGTTCTCTTTTTTCTCCTGTCCTATTGTTAGCAGAGCTGGTAGCCAGAGATTGTAGTAGAAAGGCCCAATTGCCTAGATATCTTCCAGTCAGCTTATCTTTACTTTGAATAGATAAATGGGGGTTGCTACCATCTAAGCACTTTTAGGTGAAGTTAAGCAAATGAACTTTGTTGTACATACTTTCTCCCTTTGTTTTGCAGAGCCAAAGTAAATTTGGGTTTACTATTTCATAGAATTATAAACCACAGCTAATAAAATATGCTTATAGACCAGATGTTTTAATGCCATCTCTAGGGGAATAAAATTGAAATTGTAAAACTAAACTAATTTTGAAGGTTCAACATGACTGTACTTAATATTATTGAACTGTACACTTAAAATGATGTTATATTCTATATACTTTACTACAATTAAAATAATAAAAATTAAAATATTGATTAAATCCTATTGATATAGATTAAAAAGTCTTAGGGATGGAATCAAGGAAAACAGTGATTTCTTACTATTTTAATCCTCTCTTAAGATACAACATGTGGAATATAGCTAGATTTTGGTCTAAGACTATAATTTCTGGTACTGATTTTGCTTTAACAAGGTCACATGAATATCAGAAGAGAAGAATCATGGGATAATTTTAAATTTAATACTTTAAGTTCTTTGAGATAATAGAGCACTATGCACTGTATACAGTAGATGATCAATAAGTTCTTAGTGAAGTAATAAATAATTGAATGTTTCCCTTTTACAGATCAGGAAGTAAAGGTCAGAGACATTAACTAAAAATAACTTAAGGGGAAAAATCTAGTTAGTAGCAGTGAGAATCTAAACTTTACAGAACCTAAAAAGCCTGTGTAAGAAAAGTTGGATTTATACTGCTAAGATCACGGGAATGCTTATTATTTCTCAGATCTCGATAAGTGAGAGCCAGTATCAGAGGTCAGGAGAGGCATTTACTGGGCCATGGAAGAAGAGAGGGTCCCACATTTGCAAATGCGCAGCAGACCAGCACTGGCAAGCAGCTGCGTGGGCACTTCCTACATGATTCACAGAGGAATGAAAAGTTCCATGTAAAATTTCCTTTCTCTGACCTGACTCCACGGCTGCCAAACAGACCAGAAGATGAGCATCACTGTGCTCAGACAGCAGATGGGAAATGCATCCCTCCTCTGGCGATCACAATTAGGAAAGAAATCAGTGGAGATGATTTTGTGCAGCGTGTAGACCAACCTGAGTCTGGATTTAATTTTCACAGAGTGAAACTATTGCTATATTTTAATTTTAATGCTATAAAATAGGATTAGAGATTGTAATATTTAGTGGCATGTGTTTTATGTGCCTATATATAAGCATGTGCATGTGTGTTATACAAACACAAATACATATATGTGTATATATGTTACTTATATATATTTAATTTTTTTTTATTCTAGTGCTTAAGGGAGGACCCCTCACTGGCACTTACAGGTTGATTCAGTTTCACTTCCACTGGGGTTCCTCTGATGGGATAGGTTCTGAGCATACTGTGGATAAAAAGAAATATGCTGCTGAGGTAAGCTGTGTTTTTTTTTTTTCAGGGAAAAATATTAATCGATATTTAGCCTTAATTTCAAAAACTGAATTTTGTAAATTCAACTCAAACCAAATGAATCACTTCTTTTACAAAAAACCTTCACATGTGCTTCTTATAACCTTTATCGTGATATTTCAGTTAATGATGGAAAACCTTATCCACTATCTCGGAAGAACCATTTGCAAAAAGTTACATGAATTTAAATTGGAGGATCCTATTTTAATATAAATCTGTGCATTAACATCATCTATAAACCTAAAAATTTATTTTCCCTCAAAATATGTAACTCTTGGTTGTAGAGTTGAGGAAATCATTTGCTATTAATTCAAATAGTTAATAACAAGAATTCAAAAGGAAGAAAACTTTGTATTTAAAATTGTCCACATTATTACTTTCTTTAGTAACCTGTAGCTATAAGAAGATTATTTTTTTTAAAATCTATGGACTTTTGTTTTGTAAGTCACTCACCATATGTGTTTTTTTTTTTTTCCCCCCTACTGCTTTAGCTTCATTTGGTTCATTGGAACACCAAATATGGGGAATTTGGAAAAGCGGTGCAACAACCAGATGGACTGGCTGTTTTGGGCATTTTTTTGACGGTTAGTTGATGGCTCAATTTCTTTTTCCCCTCTTTTCAAAGAAAATTAACCAGAAAAAACATTCCTAACAAGACGTTCTACAAAACAGCCTAGGAAATGCCTTTGGCTTGGAAGTATATTCAGGAATATTGTCTTCTTCATCCCTGCTATGAATGGAAAGATGGAGGACAATAGAGGACAATTTTAGGGGCATTAGGTGTCATTTGGATGTATATTTGAAGAGTTATATATGTTTGAAATGTGAAAATGAGAAAGAGGTCTACTTCAGATAGCCATTAGATATTTTTTAATTTAACTTTGGTTAGCTAGTACTAATTCATGGTAGACAATGCTAATTTAAGATTAAGTTTTGTAGGGATGAAGGATAATGACTTGATATTGGGACATATTGATTGAATTGCCCTCTAGACAGTTGTAAAGCAAACAGAGAAAGGCCTGGGTTGGAGATTCACAGCATTATATGTTAATGTGGATGCAAAAAATGTAGATGAAATCATCCAGGAGAGACTTGCAGAGGAGATGCTGAGCTGGCAATCCTGTGAAGCTGCAAGATGGAAGGTATTTGAGCCAGTAGGTGCTAATTGAATGACTAAAAAGGAATATAAGAGAAAAGAGATATTTGGGAGGCTTTAAGGCAGAGGTAAATCCGAGGAGTGAATTTTAAAAAGGATAACAATAGTGCAAAATCCAGCAAGAAGATTAATTAGCTCTTGAACAGTATCCATTGCTTTGGCAGTTGTAGGTTACTGGTGATATTTGAGAGGATAGTTTCAGGGAAACTAGGGGTAATCAAAACAGTGGTAGAAAGAGCACAAGGGACTATGGTGATGGTACATATGTGAATTGGTGGTGGGAATTTCACGGAACTATACCTGAGATGAGAAAGCATACATCGTATAAAAATGAAGAATGAGGCCTCCTCCGTGGCGCAGCGGTTGAGCGCTGGGTTGCGAAGCTGCCCGCGGCCTTTGCTGCGCCTGTTCGATCCCCGGCTGCTCCCCGGCCACCGGAGGAGGGTCCCACATGGCACGCAGACCTCTCCTGCCGCCCGCTGCTCCCCTCAGCAGTGTACATTGGTCCTTCTGCCTGTTCTGCTCCCTGCTCTAGCTCTGGTGAATTCTCTCACCCTCCCGCGCTTCTGACTGTACCCAGTGCATGTATAAAACAAGCAAAACAAACAAACAAATAAATAAATAAAAACATGCCTCTTTAAAAAAAAAAAATGAAGAATGATGTAAAAAAAACATATAAAATCATAAAAAGAAAAGAAATTAAAAGAAACTATAGGGATAAACAAAGAGGGTGGTTGTCCCTAAAGTAAGGAAGTCTAAAGCGTCAATGTAATAAAAAATAGGAAACAAAGACCGATAGGTGGCATGTAGCAAGTGGTAGATCTATTATTTAAAAAAATTTACAGATAATATTGCCCAAATCAAAATGTAGAATAGCAACTGGGTTACAGTGTCCTTTATGTTTTTCTATAGATTGGCAGTGCTAAACCAGCCCTACAGAAAATCATTGATGCAATGGACTCCATTAAAAACAAGGTAAAGTTGCCAACCCCCTTGTTTTCATCCTACTCTCTTCTCCCCTCCACGCCCCCCCCCACAGTGTGTCTCTGGTTTATAGTTGCTTGTTGATTTTGATTTTGATTTTATTATAATTAGTCTTTTTCCTGGTCCCTTATTTAGGTTTTCTAAATTTCTGGTATGAGTGAGACCATCCGGTATTTTTCTTTTTCTTTCTGACTTATTTCGTTGAGCATGATCCCTTCCAGTTCCATCCATGTTGCAAATTGGATGAGTTTATCTTTTTTGAATGCTGAATAATATTCCATGTTGTATATGTACCACATCTTCTTGATCCAGTCATCTATTTTTGGGCTTTCTCTGTACCTTCTACTCAATTTTTCTGTGAATCTAAAATGTTCTAAAAAATAAAATGTATGTGTGTGTGTGTGTGTGTGTGTGTGTGTGTGTAAAAAACAAGGTAAAGTTGAATTTTCTGTTACCACAATGGGGCACCTATTTTCCATATCCCTCTGTATTAGGAAATTCTTTTGACCAAATTGAATGGTTTCCATTTTGAGTGATCAATTAAAGATAAATTGTTGCTTGGATATTTAACCTTTCTTTAAAGATATTTTTTAATGACATTTAAAAAATAAAATTATTGATTTACCATTGGTTTAAAAAATAAGTATGTTTTAGGAGTACAGCTTCATACCTTGACATGTGTACATACTTCACTGTACCTACCACCAAAAGTCTAGTGCCATCAAACTATCAAATTGCCCCCTCTACCCAATCCTCCCCTTCCCCTCTGGTAATCACCATGGTTATCATAGTCTAACTATTTTTTGTGATGTTTCGTTAGTTTGCTTTGTTTATTGATATTCTACTTATACGTGAAATCACCCAACAATAGTCTGTCACTTTCAGACTTATTTTACTTAGCACAATCACCTTAAGATCCACCCATGCTGCACCTCCCTTGTGGTGCAGGGATTAAAGTCTCAGCACTATCAAGCTGTTGCCAGCCATTGCAGCATGAGTTCAATCCCCAGCCAGGGAGCTAACCCATATGGCACAGCAGACCTCTCATATCTCACCAGCTCCTCCCCTCAGCAGTGTATTTCAGTAGGTCTGCCTGTTCTGCTCCCTACTCTGTCTCTGTTAAATCTTCTCATACCTGTGCACCTCTGTCCTATACCCCAGTTCTTGTGTACATAAATAAATAAATCTTTTTTAATAAAAGATCCACCCATGTTATTGTAGAAGGCAAAATTTCATTTTTTTTAAATGGCTGAGTAGTATTCCATTGTGCATACTATATCTATCTATCTATCTATCTATCTATCTATCTATCTATCTATCTATCCACCATAACTTCTTTACCTAGTCATCTGTCAACGGGTATTTGGACTGTATTTATTTTATTTTTAACATTTTTGTTACTAGTATGTATTTTTACTTATCTCAAAGTTGATCCTAATGTTAGTATAATTGTAAGACTTTATTTAATATTGCTTTTAATTGCTTGAACATCCATAATCAGAAAATCTCATGATTGCAAGGAAGATTATCTGGTCAAATTATTCACTCATTCATACAATAGATGATTGTTGAGTACTTACTATGAGCTGGTCACTTTGCTAACCTAGGAGATACAGTGGTGAATGTGACCAATAAGGCCCTGCTCCATGGACATTTATATTCTGTGACCTCTTTGAATTCATCCAAGGGAAGTGTTTAAATCCTCTACATATAACAGTGGCATTGAGGTCATTGAGCATCTGCTTAAAAATTAAAATCACCAGTGGCAGCCCTAACTTTGTAAAGCTTACGGTCATATTGAAGCAACATCTATCTTCTGAAATGCTCACTGTTACTCCTAACTTGATTTTGAATCAGAAAAAAAATTAGGGCCTCCCCTGCTGGCGCAGTGGTTGAGCGCTGGGCTGCAAGACTGCCTGCAGCCTCTGCAGCGCCGGTTCAATCCCTGGCTGCCGGCAAGGGTCCCACATGGCACAACAGACCTCTCCTGCCATGACCGCTGCTCCCCTCAGCAGTGTGTTTCATCGGTCTGCCTGTTCTGCTCCCCGCTCTGGCTCTGGTGAATTCTCTTACCCTCCCGCGCTTCTGATTGTACCCAGTGCTTGTATAAATAAATAAATAAATCTTTAAAAAAAAAAAAAAAGAAAAAAAATTAAATCTGATCTCTCTTAACCTTGACTATTCTCTCTCCAATAACCTTTCACCTAGCCCAGGCAAGTCATCTTTAGTTTCCTTCAACTATTCTCCTAAGACAGCTTTCTCTTTGCAATAGTTTTGTCACTCTTCCTGTAACTCATTCTGGTTTTTATGTATTGGTTTCAAAGTATAGCATCCAGAACTGAATGCAGTTGTTTGGATTTACTCATCAAATAAGATAATATGACTATTGGGGTCTCCCCGGTGGTGCAGCGGTTGAGCGCTGGGCTGCAAAGCTGCCCGCAGCCTCTGCAGCGTTGGTTCGATCCCCGTCCAGCCGGGAGGGTCCCACGTGGCGCGCAGACCTCTCCTGCCATGCCCGCTGCTCCCCTCAGCAGTGTATTTCCTCAGTCTACCTGTTCTGCTCCCCGCTCTGTCTCTGGTGAATTCTCTCACCCTCCTGGGCTTTTGACTGTACCCAGTGCTTGTATAAATAAATAAATAAATCTTTAAAAAAAAAAAGATAATATGACTTACCTCATCACCCATACTGTAGTTATTGCAAACTAAAACACATGATTTCAGTGTCAGCAGTTTCACTTTAAAAATTAGGTAAGGCCAGTTAATACCTTAATTAGAAATATAAGGGACTATCTCAGAGAACAAGATGAGAAACAAACGTGAAAATAATAATCATGTGCTCCTGCTCATATCTGCCTTTATTCCCAAAGTAAAAGTTTTTTTGTTAATTTCTGTTTTATTTTTAGTGAACAATAAACTTCTCTTTAAAAGAACGTTTCTGGTTATCAGAGGGGAAATGTAACTGTTTACGTTCCCTGTTCTCTTGCTGTCAGTCTATGCTGATCGTGTGACTTTTTAACCCATGATTTTGCCTTGTTCCAGGGTAAGAGTGCTGACTTCTCTAACTTTGATCCTCGTGGCCTTCTTCCAGAAAGCCTGGACTACTGGACCTACCCAGGCTCACTGACTACCCCTCCTCTCCTGGAGTGTGTGACCTGGATTGTGCTCAGGGAACCCATCAGCATTAGCCATGAGCAGGTAGGTCAGTTTTCTAACAAGAAGTCTGTTTAGAAGTCTGTTAAACTTCTGTTTAACAAGAAGCAACTTTAGGACCAGCAGAAGAACTTGACCTTTGAAGTCAGGTAGACGTGGCATTAAATTCTTCTGCTGTTTCTAGTTGTAGAACTAATGTCTACAACACTGCTCAGCAAATAAACAGTATTCAGTAAATATTTGTTGTTGTTAACTATAGCCAGTTTGTTTACTCCATAAGACTGGATAATCATGAAGATTAAACAAGAAACTTGTCTGTCACCTAATGAGTGTTTTTTTGTAATCTGTGAAGAAACTAATGCCCAGAATAACAAGTATTCATAGTCAAAGTTATATCACTATCAGTGATAATTCCCACCTCTGCTTACTCACATAGGAGCCTACTACAGTTTTATTTGTATCAGAATGCATTTCTGAACTCTGACAAAGTGTCATACCTTGGAGAAAAATTATCAAAACTCATTCCAAGTTGCTTATCAGCTCAGATCAGAGATTCTTACATTTCTCCTACAATGTAGTATGCGATGTTCAAGTTGTTAATATACTTTCCAAGTCACCAGTGAGTATCCAGTAGATACAAATAACTTCTCTAGATTCTCTCTGTGCTCACAGTTGAATGTAGAAAATGGATATTTCTCAGCAGGATCCTCAAGAACTTGTATCCTGGATAATTTGAGATTCAGCAACCAACATTGAAAGTCATAACTGTTTGAGTACTTATAATGTGACTAAAACATTAAGAGTACAACACTCTTAATAGTTTATTGTTATTTTAAATTTAATAGTTAATTTATTTAATTTAATATTTAATAATATAACATTTTAATATTGAAGTTGGACTCATAGATGTCAAAAACTGCACTATGCAGTAGAGATCACTTTGTCCAACCTTCTCATTTGACAGAAAAATAGAAATACAGGAAAATTGAAGTGCTTTGCACCCAGCTACCTCATGGCAGAGTCAGCTCTGGGAGCAAGGATTTTATTCCTGTAGTCTTCTTTAGAATGCTAATTTATGAGTAGGTGATATTTCACACTTTTTTCAAAAGGGAATCTATATCTGACACTGGGAATTTACTTCCAGTATATCAAAGTGCACCAAGGAAAAATAGTATGCTTGGCTGACATATGACTTGAAAATTGGCCTTGTAGTCATAACATATTTGAACAAATTTCTTGAAATAATAGCATAAGGAAAAATTATGCCACTTCTTATTTGTATATGCTGTCTTTGAGGTACAATTTAAACAATGAATATTCTTTTTCTTCCTTTAATAATACAACTTGAAATCCACATTCTGACATTGAGAGCTATTATTAAATGGATTTATTGTGTACACACACACACACAAACACACACACACAGATTCACATACAGGTGTAGACAGTTGAATTTACTCCAAAGTCCCTTACACTTTAAGGTAACAAGTAATGTTAAAATAAAATTATTTATTGTATATCTTGACAAAATACCAATGGAGTTAATTTTCATATCTTAGAACATGGAGTCTGATGCAGGATCATGTTCAGCTGATAAATCTGGATTCTGGCACCTCCTTTTAGTGATTTCCCTAGTTCTGCCTTACCCATCAGAATTTTCATCCTCAAGGTGACTGCAAAAGGAGTTTGAGCATCATATACAGACACAACCACATCTTAAGGAGGAGAGGAACAGCTTCCTCTTCCACTGACTGGTTCCTTAAGAGTAGGGAAGCCTTTCCTTGAAATCTCCTTGTAGACCGTCTACATTTTACTGATTCGAATTGTGTTTTTACCCACTTCTTACCCAGTACTCAGCAAGAGTTCTTACCCACTTCTTACTCACTTTTTACCCAGTTCTCAACAAGAGAATGTGATCACCATGATCCATTAGACACACAGATTTACCTCTTCCAAGGCTTAAGGGGGAGACGAATTCCTGTGTATGAGAAAGTATGAGGGGATGAATGTTAAGTAAGCAATGTAAATAGACCTGCTATGTTCTGCTACCATTTTTCTGTATTCATTCTTGGTGTCTATGATGCTAAAATAATGAGTCAAGTTGACCAATGTGAGAAAGCAATTAATTGACCAGGTAGGGAGTAGACATTGGCCTATTGGTTTCGTCCAAAAGTTTGAGCTTATTGCACTTTATGAACAGATTTTAACTTTCAGATTACTGAAATTCTGTGGTAATGAAGCAATTCCTAGATGTTGTTAGCAATTTCCCTTGTCTTGTAGTATCAATGATTGTGCATGTTAAAATAGTTGACTTACATTGAAGTTGACTTTGGGGGTGGGAGGGTGTGACTGAGGGAATATTACTGGGCAGAAGTAATCAAATGAAGTTTTTGATTAATAGCTTGCTCTCAATTGCCCTTTCTTTTTTTATTCCCTTTCTTTAGTGGAAGGAAAGTACCCTTTTGCAAAACAACCTTAAAATATGCTCCCCTGGTGGCGCAGCAGTTGGTTGCTTGATTGCTGGGCTGCGAAGCTGCCCATAGTCTCTGCAGCACTGGTTCAATCCCCCCCCCCCCCCCCCCGCCACCGTTGGTTAGGGTCCCACATGGCACGCAGACCTCTCCTGCCGTGCCCGCTGCTCCCCTCAACCGTGTTCTTCATCAGTCTGCCTGTTCTATTCCCCGCTCTGGCTCTGGTGAATTCTCTCACCCTCCTGTGCTTCTGACTTTACCCAGTGCTTGTACAAATAATAAATAAATCTTTAAAAAAATGGGGAGATTAGTTGAAGGCTGCCTGTATCATATACTGGTCAGGGAACTGGACACATTTTGAAAGGGCCTAACAATCAACCAGTGACAAGAATTTGGAATCCCAGTTTGGGAAAATTCATTCCAGTATTTCTGTATATTTAAGCAGAGATGCCAGCCAATCACTTGGCTCATCGGCTTGTAGATCTTGATGCAGAATATCTAATTGAACAGATGTTGTAGTTAATCTTTCCTGGGGATAGAAAACCAAAAAAAATAATATGGATCTAAAATGATCATTTTGCATTTCAGAAGTATATTATAGACTCAGTGCTTAATTATAAAATAAAAGGGGCAAGAAACAAGCTCACAGGAATTTCCAAGTAACACCAATGATTTTGTATGTATTTTATATAAATGGATTTCTTATATAAAAGTATATTTATAATTCATATGTGGTTGTATAGCTATTGGAAATCAATTGAATTCTGACTATTGGTTTATGGAACGATGAATATTGGGGAATGTATTTAAAGATAGAATATGAGCCATAGTGAATATGTTATGAAACTTTTATTTTTTAATCTTTTATTTTGTCTTTTAGTTGATGAAATTCCGGAAGCTTAACTTCAATAAGGAGGGTGAACCCGAAGAGCTTATGGTAGACAACTGGCGCCCAGTTCAGCCACTGCACAGCAGGCAAATCAAAGCTTCCTTCAAATAAGATGGTCCCAGAGTCAGTGTCAAAAATGTCTTTGGGTTTAACTAAGCACAGATCTACTGCCATGGTGAATTTTGAACCCTGGCTGCTTTGTGTCTGGTTTTTTAGACCCCTCATCGCTCACCTGATGTGATTACTAATAAAATGTGAGCAGATTCACCAATTGTTATGCTTGACAGAATTGCTGTGATTGGTGCTTTGCTTATGGTAGTAGCCTTTCTGTAACAGAGACTATAATCTAAAGAATAGGAAAAAGTACCTTGACTTTGTTCACAGCACATGGGGTGATAAGCATTACAATTGTTCACTAAAATGCTATTTTTAAAACATAGGAAAGCAGACTAATTGAGTGCAAGTCCGTCCATACCATGAGATAAACTGAATTGTATAATGTAAATCAGGTAAAAGTAGGGATGATTCTATATAATGTAAATCAGATAAGATAAATGTTCATGATTTCAAAATGTGATATTAAAGAAAAATTTTTAAATTATCTATTTGTAGTAATGTTATCTTAAATATGAATCATGTTGTAATTTAGTGATTTTTGAATTACAGAGTTTAAAGTGAAGTATTATCTATAAAAATTGTTATAATTATAGTTGTGATACAGAGTATATTTCCATTCAAAAATATATCATAACTTAATCAATATTGTATTTTAGATATATTCACTAATAAAATTCAGAATTCTATTTTGCTTGTTTTATTTTGGGCAGTGGTTAATAATCAGGGAGCAAATGTCTACTTTTATAATTCATATTAATATATTACTAATAATAAGCCATCATAGTCAACTTACTGATAATTGAAGGCATTTCCACAAAAGGAGAAACAGTAAATGTCATTTACTATTTGTCAAGCACTGCTTTAAGTATGAGTATACATGCATGTGCTCTTCATGAGAACTCTGTTAGGATTAATCCTGCAAAAGTGAGCGCTGATTACATTAAAAGCAACAAAGTGGAAAAGGGAGCACATAATAAATCAATATAAGCTCCCGGGAAATGAATACAAGTCCATTTTACTGAAAAAAGAGTTCAAGTTTTACCCAGAAATAAAAGTAACCTTAATATTTGAAAGGTAAATTATACTTATTACAGTTCGGAAAAGGTGAATACATGAACTGAAAATCTACCACTATTATGGCTGATCTGAATTTAACACTGTGCCTGGACCATGGAATGTTTGGCTGATGAGTTATTCTGGAAAGTTAAATTTAACAAATAACTCATGTTTTACACTTGGGGAATAAAATATCTTTGTCACTTGAGATATAAAAATTTCAAACTCATTTGTATTCTCACCTATTTTCCTAAAGAACTATGCTGAGTTTATAAAAGTATAAAGATCATAAACTTTGAAGTTTGATTTGTTTTGAATCCTAGCTTTTCTCAACCCCTCTGATCCTAGGTGTAGGAATAGGGTAACACCCAGGGTTGTGATATTTATATTAGGTAATATCGGATGTATAGTCGATGCTTGAAAATAAATGTCTTCCCCCAGTGTCCTGGAATGAGGATTCTTCTTTAATTCATTAATTTATTTCTTATGTGGGTATGGGACTCACATAAGCAATAGAGAACTGCGTGTAAACTAAAAGTAAACTTTTAACATATCAACTTTTAGTTATACACTGAACTAGAAGCTTGTTACATCGGTGTAAAACATAATAGCAGACAAAATGCACAGAAAGTAAGTTGATTTCACAATAGGGAAGGTCTATCAGAACATATATCAAAATCACTATGCACACTCCACCTAGTCATATGGTGCTCCCAAAACTTCCTGAGGTTTCTTTAGCTCACTTGCTAAAATCTAGTAGACAGTTAACTTAGGTTTTCCCCCCCTTTTCCCTTCTGTCCTCACTCTTCCTGATTCCTACATTCATTATAAGAGATACATAGTGCTAAATGATACAAAAGGTAGTATCATTACTTTGGTATTTTTGGCAATTTGATAGAATGAAACAAAAGAGAACTCTGAAGTTTTTGAAAGTGAACAGTTCGTGTTCTGTGATAGAATTACACAATTTCCTTTATATGTGAAACTTGAGAGTTGAAAGTTCATTTTAAGGCATTTGGCAGGAGAATCACATTACACTGCCTTGAGATCCCATCCAGCACACATGATGGAAATACAGTCTGGAGAGCAGCTTGGTGGCCTCACTATTAGAACTTGTCTTACAGGTAAAGATGTCTGGAAAGAGTTTGAAAAACAAGCTTTTAGCCTCGGGTGACAGGGCCATGGTTGCCTGTGGGCAGTGGATCCAGGCACACTTATCTCCACGGTGGGCTGGCATGCTGTCCAAGATGGCAGCCCCGAGCATCTGAAGATTTTCTCCGCACACCTTTGGTCTTGAAGGAGTGATATCTCTGATGTTTTCAGAGAAGGCATTTTCCCTAGTCTTCCTCCTAGAAGAATGATTCTGGCTTGTTTTGCAGAAGCCAGCATTCCCTCTCAGAGAGGATCTCCCTAATGCTCAGTCACAAGTCTGTCCTCTCTCTCCCTCCTTCAACTCTACCTGGGCTTCTAATTCCCATAAGTTTCCTAGTCTTCACGCTTTGTTGTCTGAAGTCTGTTCTCAGAAAGACTTACAGGAGGAATGCCTTTCAGCCCTGAGAGCTGTGCCCAGAATACCTATGTGTGGAATTTCAAAACAGTTTTTTGTTACATACGCAAGTATATACACAGGTTGACAACATGTGAATTTATGATATATAAGTTCTTTTATTTAAGGTTTTCTTGCGAGCCAACTGGTTCCTTCAGGAGCCAATAAAAGAGGATTTAGTGTTCCTATCTTCCTTTGTCACAGTCCATGAATATACTTTCAAAAAACAGAAAATTCAAATATTACTGAACAATGTAGGCTGCAGATATCAGGGAGAGAACAAAAATGAGGCTTTATATCACAAAGTGTACAACATTTCAACATTCAAATCTAGACTCACTGACTCTATCTTCTTTTCCCTCTAGGACTCTGCCTCTCCTGGGGCTGAAGCCTCCTGGCCCTGCTGCCTCCCTTGGGCCTCATTTTCTGCTCTATTTCTAACACAGAGCATTTGGCTCCATCTTCCCCTCCTCCCTCCTAATACGTGTCCATGCTCATGTGTATGCACACACAAGGCACACATGAACATACATGCACCTGTGCACACACACATACTCTCTTGAAACTACGCAACACTAAGATATGCTAAAGGGTAGCAAAGAATAGCTAAAGGCTTCCAGTTTCAAGATCTACTCTCCATAAAAGTGGCTTAGGTATTATACACGTATTTTTGTTGTCATCATTTTTAATTCTTTTACCACACACGTATTATCTATCACCTTCTCAACACAGGAAAATGAAATTTATTCCTATTTTATAAAGAGACTTGGGGGGCTCAGAGGAACTGAGAAGCCTATTTAAGTTCCACAAAAAAACAGAGCACAAAGGACATGCAAATATACATTTAGTGCTCATACGCTTCACTATGCTATGAAGGGTGATGCTTGATGGTCCACGGCGTGTTCTCTGCTGGTGTCAAATCCTCCACCCCAACCCTCCCTTTCTCTAAACTGCTGGGGATTTTTATTGCCAACCCCACAAAGAATAGGGTTCACTAGGATGTGTTGGTCAACTACGTGGGGGCAATTTGCAAATGGGAAGTAGCACAATCTTTCCCACTACAGCACTTGGCTCAAGGCAAAGGCTCAACTAGACTTTCAATAGATATTGCTGAATGAATATATGTATTTTGAAGTCAAATTAATGACAAAATTATACACATCAATGTTGGTGATGATTATACAACAATATAAATATACTTAATACCTCTGAATTGTAACTAAAATATTGTTTAAAAATTATAACTAAAATATAACTTATCACATTTTTTTAAAAAGTTAAATATAAATTCTTTCTATATTATCTACTTTTTTTATTTACTTCTTTCCTGTCAGTTGAAAACAGGCATATTTTGAAAAAAAAATGCAAAAAAACCCTCAGATATTTATAAGCCTCACTAGAAAGATGAATAGGGCCTTGAACAAGACTAGGCCACCTAAATGAGTTGAATTTAAGCATGGCAAATGTTTGATTGATCATAACCAACACATTCTGGAATTAGAATGTCTAGATTTAATGTCTGGCTTTTTGTCTCTTTGCTGCATGAACTGGGGCATGATTTTTACTCTACTTTAGATTAGATAGTATGATGCTATCATGTCCTATTCTGGTGAGCTAGTTCATATAAGAGACATACTATTGTTCTTAGAAAGCATTTAAAAATATAAGCTATGAACAGTAAGAAGAGCTATGGATCCCAAAAGTGCTTAAAAATGAAGCATTAAGTATTATCTCAACTTTGGCCAGGATGCTGCTTGCAAATGGCTACCAATAACTTCATCTATCATTTTCCCTCCTTCTCTTAGGTATCAGAATACTATTTATGCTACATTCTTGGAAGATGCCCCCCAAAATCCTTCATGTCCTTATCATTCTACGAGGTAAGTTAAGTATAGGGACCAGTAATAATAGATGGGTATAGAATAAGCACTTCTCCTATTTGCTTTAAAGTCTATGCAACCAGAAAGTAAAATTCAATTGCCTCCTTATTGCATTGGTTCTGTAAATTACATTTCAGTATATATTTTAAGCTTTTTAAAAACATTTAAAATAAGATTTTGAAAACATCTATTGGGCAGGTAATCTACACTTACACTCCTCCGATTGGAATGGGCACAACTATTCTGCAGCTCCTGGGCTGGTATTGGAATCCAGGTGGTATTGGGGCCAAGCTCCAAACTGCCCTTTTATTTTTGCATTAATTTAAAATTTTTGAAAAAGGAGATGTTTCAGACTGACTTTCACTTGTTTTCTTACTGACAACTCTGGGGTATATTACCTACATGGAGAATAATTCCTTAGTTTCTTTTAGTATTATGTAATATGAAAACATAAACATCAGCTTTGAAGAAAAATAGTTAATATGCATCACTGTTACCAACAGGGATTAATGCATAAGGTATCAAATAAATAAAAATGAAAATGTTTTGAATAAAAGAATAAAGTTTAGAATATAGTTTTGGGAATCCTACTGAGCAACAAATTTTCCAACTCTTTGACTTTGAATTAATGATTGTTTTAATGATTCAAGTCTGTTTCTTCATGTGTAAAATGGGGATAAAAACACATGTCAGAGATTAATGTCAGAAGTGAGCTGGAAATGTACAAAAATTGTTAGTATCATCTGGCTCATAGTAAGTGCTCAATAAAATTTTGCTGCTATAAATATACTTGAAATGAGAACAACTTTCCCTTCAAACAAAAGGAAGCCTATATCCTTACTGCAGGATCTCAACAGCTTCTACCTGGCTGACTCAGGTATGGTCAGGCTTCTAATGTCTGAATGCTAGCTCTGCCTCCACGACATTGTGAGATAATAGTTAAGAACATGTAACTGTCTTGGGTTTCCTTTTCCTCATCTGTTCAATGAAGATATTAGAGTGGTTTTGAGGATTTAAAGAGCTAATCTAGGTAAAACACCATGCCTTGCTCATAACAAGTGCTCAACAAATATTAGCTAAGATCATTAAAAATTCATTGACTTAATAATGCAGAAATCCATTTTCTGATGTAGAAGTTGGATTTTTTCCAGGTTTCTGAAAATACATAATTAAATAAGTGAGTATATGGTTGCCTCTAATGGCCAAGTTGAGGCTTTTCACCTGAGAACAAAGATCGGTTAAGCCCAATATAATGACTGATTCTTCCCAGTATAATTTGAGGAACACCCACAGTGACAGCTCTGAAAATGGACACCATCTAGCAGATAAATGGTTCAGTAACTATGGAATGACAGTGTGGGAATAAGTTGGGGAAGATATGTATCTAATGTCTTTTTTGGTATAGAGATAGAATTGTCAGGGGCTGACAGTCTCTACCACTTTATTTTTCAATTGATCTTATAGAATGCAAAAAAAGCACTTTTTGCAGGGACACCCAATCATTGGCATAGTCTCATATGCCAGTGAGCAAGTCTTCAATATATGTGCTTTATTTTCATTTACATTCCTTTCATGTGAATTTACTGAGTAACTACAAAATAGATTGCTATAGCCATAAAGTTATATGTATTTTTTCAAAATGCCACTGTAGTTGAACTAATTAATTTATATTTGTATAAAAGACAGTAAGTTGACTTTAAGTGTACACCAGTAAGATTGCTATATCTGAATTTGCATATAAATCAGTAAACATTTACATGTACATTTCCAGTTTTGATGTTCCAATCTTACCTGATAGAATTGCAGAAAATTTGGTCTACAATAGATTTTTTCGATGCACATATTTCTTCAGATGGGGGTGGTATACATTTATTCAAAGAACATTCCTTGGGCATAACTTACTACTATTCCTGCTGATGGAACAGGAAAATAGATAGTGCTTGTGGGCAAGTTTCAGAGGTGATAGACCCGTGAATATATTTAGGTCTGGGTCTCTCCATCACTTGTGCTACCAGTAGGGAATGAGAGCTCTGCCCTTGCCATGGGGCCTAGGACCCCAGACACATCACTGACAGGGCTGTCACCCTGGCCATGACTTCCAGTTTAAGCATTTACAGTCCCGTGGCCTTAGTGCCATATAGATGATTATGCTCTTGGTGATCACTTTCCCTATCTGTGCATTACACTAACGTGGGGTGTCCCACGCACCACAGAGCTGTCTGAGCACCAAAATGCTGAGATGCAGTTATTTCACTAGTCTCTCCCTGCCCCCCATCTCTCTCACTCTTTGCTCCACCGCCCCTCATGTTTGCATCATTGTTTTTAGGGACCATGTAGACTTTGGGACCATGTAGACTTTGAGCTGTGAGCAATTCAGGGCTTCGTTTTCACTCATAATGCTTTTCTTTTCAGGCTTCGCCTGGTTTGAATAACATTCTACTCTGCCTACATGGATTTATAGACATTAATCACATTGCTTCTTTTTCAAAAGCAGATTTTTAGTTTTTACATATACTGATTCATTCTAATTGACTCAAGGGTATTGGCCAACCCAGCATCTCCACAGCATTCAAACTTAACATCTTTTTGGATTCCTTAAATGAAACGGGATTCCTAAATCCTTTCACCAGTAGTAGATAGCAATCCATATTAGTTTGCTTGGAGTCACAAAACACTTTTTTATTTCACAGTTCTGAATGCTGGCAGTCCAAGACCAAAGTGTTGTCTGATCTCTGAAGGTGCTAAAGAACAACCTGTTCCAAGGCTTTTTCCAAGCTTCTGGTAGTTCTTGGACTTATGGCAGCAAAACTCCTGTCTTCACAGGGTGTTCTCTTGGTGTGTCTGCATCCCAGTTTCCCTTCTTAGAAGGACATCAGTCACATTAGCTTAGGGACCCACCTTACAGCACTATGACCTCATCTTAACTAATTACATCTGCATGGGCCCTATTTCCAAGTAATGGCACTATCTGAGGAACTGGAGGAGGAAGGACATAATTCAATCCATAACACTATTTAACGATTCTTTTACATAATATTTGTATTTCTATGACAAAGTGAAATGCTATTCCTCAGAAATTCCTAAACATTTCCTTCACGGGCTTGTACTTAATTTCATCATTGTTTTTCATTTTCAAGGATTTTATGGACTATATATAACAACTTTTAATTACTGCAACAGAAATAAATATAAATTTTAAAGGAAGAGAAAATAAAACAGTCTAGGATCCCATGTATTTATATTAAATGTAAATTTTTGTCTCATAAAGGGCAGGTATTTTTGCAGAATATTTGTGTATTCTTCTGCCACACAGAAAAAAAAAAAAAAACAACAAAAACAAACCACTTACCAAGCTACACCCATGTCCTTAACATCTTCAAATAAATTTTTTAGAAGCCTTCAGTTTGGGGAAAACCAGTGAGACTTTTGCCTGTACCCTGTATTTTAGAGTCTCAGTTACAAGTCTTGTTCTTTTACATTGAGGGCAAAGCTCTTTCTATAGATATCAGAATATGGCCAACTGCTTCCAATGTATCAAATTTCTATAATCTAAAAGCATTAAGAGCCTTGTTAGCTGACAAAAATAATTTTTGTTCAAAGTAAGTGGCGCATGAATTTGGTTTTGTGTCAACTCGTTGAATGTAGGAGGAGAAGCAATTCACTTTCAAACTTTTAAAAGTGTCTAATATTCTGGCACATCTAGATTTCAGATTTGTTTCTCTTAAAATGAATTCTGAATTAACACTTCATACAATTTTCTCTTGTTCTTTAAGGACTGGAAACAAAGCATTAGACTCAGTGAAGTGACCTGAGCCTTTCAATTAAACTCCATGTTGCTTCATATAAATTAAAACAGACCTTTTGCTTAAAGATCCTAAGAACTAACACACTGGCCATAATCACCCTGTCAAGTTCACTTCCAGCTGAAGTTGTCATTCTATAGTTCTCTGCTTGGAAAAGGAGTGCTTGGTTGTTCTCTGATACAAATTTGGATCAAGAAAAGACTTGGAATAAAGATTTCTACCCCAAAGAGATAAGTGTGAATAGGTGAATCAATCTATCAGATCATCTTCCTTTACAAACTAGAATAGAAACTAAAAAGAAGATTGTTTAATAGAGAGAACAAAACAATACATACAGCCAAAAAAGCCTCGAAGCCCAGCAGGGAAGCAGGAGAAGCTGGACCCCAGAGCTTTCTGGGTTTTTGTCAGCTCTGTTTCCATCTGTGTGAATTTTTAGCGTCCCATTTAGTACAGCAACCCAAGTTATTCTTTCCTTCTTACAATCTAAAACACCTAACACACACATAATCAGAGATCACTGTATTCTGTGAATATTTAGTGAGCCTCTCCTGTTAGGTGCTGGGCTCTGAGCTTAAGATTTCTAGACTTCCAGAAGTACGTAAAAGAAATATTTTGTGAATTGCTCTTTTTAAAAATCGAAACAAGCAAGAGATGACTTAAATGTGTCTCTTCCACTAAGACAGCTGTGGATCTTTATTTTGTTTTCACTTCTGTATTCCTAAAAGACTGTAAATGGATTGCAAATCCATTTTGAACCAAGGATGTAGGCATTTCTTCCCTCGTGGATCATGTTCACATGAATGATATGTGATGTGCTGTCATGGCTAAGATGGTGCTTAGTAGAATTCTAAAAATTCATATATGATCCCATTTTTTTTTCAAAATAAACTTAAGCAAAAAATAAAGTGAGAAGTCATCATTCCACGACTAAGTATTTGCTAGCATGGAAGATGTTATTGTAAGATTGTTGGAGATGGAATTTGGTTAGAGAATGCATGCGTTCTCTGATATGTTATATTAAGGGATTAAATTAGCTGGGTCTCATTTTTGCCATCTTCAAAGATGTAGATAATAACCCTAAATAACCTGTCGTGAGAATCAAAAAAGATCATGCATTTTAAGTACTTAGTGTAGTACTCAGCACATGACTAATCAATAATTACTAGTTTCTTTCCTTTCTCCTTGCTCTTCCTTCCAAATTCCTTTTATCAATAAAATCAGGTGCAGCATTAAAAAGCTTACTTGAAAATTTACCTTAATGCCCACATCCCCAAACTTAAGTGTCAATGTATCTTATTCTTCTGAGTCATCTTATTTCATGTGACATCCACTTCCTATATCACATATTTTTGACCTTAAATAAAAACCAAAGAGAAACCACTTTTTTTGTATGTCATATATAAGTTTTCAGGTGACATAGAATAATTTTTAGCTCTTTCTACAACAGGATGTGGTTGAGAAACAGGAAATATTTCACTTCTGGAAATGGGACCCTGAAATATACATGCAGTTAACTCTTCCTGTGACAGGCAGGAATAGCTCCAGGAATAAAATGATCTACTAGGACCTCCTTAGTTGTGCAAGGGGTTAAGTCTCAACACTATGAAGATGTCAGCAGCCACTGCTGCGCGAGTTTGATCCCTGGCCAGGGAGGTGACCCACATGGCACAGCAGACCTCTCCTGTCTCGCCTGCTGCTCCCTTCAGCAGTGTATTTCAGTAGATCCACCTGTTCTATTCCCCACTGTCTCTGGTGAGTCCTCTCACCATGCGCACCTCTGGCCTGCACCCCAGTTCTTGTATGTATAAATAAATAAAATAAATCTTAAAAGAAAATAAAATGATCTGCTAGACTTCAACGTTGTTTGGGCCCTTCTCAACTATCTAGATTCCCAGACCTCCTGTCTAAAGGTTGGCTCTGACAGTGTCTTAATATCAGATAAGTGTCTAACTACAGTAAGATTTAATTAAGGATAAAAATTAAAGAAACAAAGCTTGGAAAATGCTCTTTAGGATGCAAATTAAATGAGAAATTTTAGTTAAAAACTTGTCTTTTTACCCATCAGAACAGCTGCTATTCAAGGCGAGGAACTGCCCACTTACTCTCCGTGCATACCATGCACAGTTTAGGTCAACTAGTTCAGCTACGCATACATGTCTTCATTCACAGGAAATCTCACACAATTGTCTATAATGGCACTATTTTTTTTTTAAGATTTATTTTTATTTATGCATACAAGAGCTGGGGTGTAGGCCAGAGGTATGTGGGGTGAGAGGATTCACCAGAGACAGAGTAGGTTGCAGAACAGGCTGATCTGCTGAAATACACTGCTAAGGGGAGCAGCGGGGGAGACAGGAGAGGTCTGCTGCACCATATGGGTTATCTTGCTGGCTGGGATCAACTCAGGCTGTGGCAGTGATAGTGCTGAGACTAACCACCATTTTTTCTTGCGGCTCCAGACCTCTTCTCTAGAACACAACCTCTCCTTTCCAATAGTCTTTTTAACTTTGCCACCTGGATGAATTTAAGGCACCTTTAAACTTTACTATAATCAAAAGGACCAATTGAGCTTGTTGTCTCTGTAATCTTCCTCATACTTGACTTTCTCCAGATCTGCAAATGGCATCACCTCCCATGCAGTTGTGCAAGCCAAAAACTTAGAAATATCATCTGATTCTTCTCTTTCCTAACAATTTCCACGAACCTCATCCAAGCCACGATTGTGTCTTCACTGAAATACTACAACACCATGTCTCCCTGCCTCTGTTCTATGTTCTGGCTACTGTGCTGTTGATTGCCCACATAGAACTCGGAGTTATCAATCTCAAACGTAGGTTGGATCACGTTGCTCCCCTCTAGCAATCCTTCCAACAGCTTCCCAACACTTTAGCAAGGAAATCGAAGCTCTGCTTTCAGAGCTCTAGGTGGTCAGCTGCAGTGTCTCCTACGCACTCTTTGCTCTTTATTCCAGTTTTACTGCATTCCAGTACACTTCCCTTATTTTGTGCCTTTAAGGGTTTCACATTTTCTATTCCTTCCCCTTGGAAGGTTTTCTTGGTAATTTTAAATTGGTAATTCCTCCCATTTGAGATCTCTGCTGAAATGCTGATGCCATTTTGTAAAAATCTTACTTTACTATCCTAGATAAACTAGCTCCCCAATGCCCCACCTCCATCCCTCTCTAGTCTGCCATTGTATTATTTCTGGAAAGCACCTTTATTTCTTCATTGAAGTAAAAGGTGAGGTTTCATAAAAGAGGGGTTATGCATAATTGAGATTTTGAGAGTTACACTTTTGGGAAGGATGAGGTAAAGGGTTCCTATCAAAATCAAGGGACCAGGAAAATGTAATTCAGTTAAGGGTCCTGAAGGCACTTGGTTGACTGATTAAAGAAACAAAGTGAGTGTTATTAATAATAATGGTGAAAAGATGCCTGATAGTCAATAAAGAAATATGACTTGTAGATTTACATCATCTTAATCATACAATTTTTAAAATGAAACAGATTCACCTTTCACTTCAATGAGAAAATACAGGCCTTTGGACACCAACATCAACTTTCCTCCTTCACCACTCAGGACTCATGGGTTCCTAACATGAACAAGTGTCTTTGTTTGCTTTGGTTGCTTGCATCGGTACGTTCCATATCATTGATGTCCTTTTTTTTTTTTTTAGATGTATTTATTTGTGCATACAAGAACTGGGGTACAGTCCACAGGTGTGGGGGTGGAGAGGTGAGAGGATTCACCGAGGTAGAGTGGGGAACAGAATAGGCAGACTAACTGAAATACACTGCTGAGGGGAGCAGCAGGTGAGACAGGAGAGGTCTGCTGTGCCATGTGGGTGGCCTCCCTGGCCAGGGATTGAACTCATGCTACAGTGGCTGCAGATAGCTTCATAGTGCTATGCTTAACCCCTTGCACCCCAGGGAGGCTCAGATGTCCTTCTTGCCAAAGTGTTTAATCAATATTTTGAATATGATTTGTGTCACCACTTCAAAATTACCAATATTTTTATTCAGAGAGAAAGATGAATACCTTTTCCTATCCTCAACTGATCTACCTAGTTTATTGAATGGTCTTCTAGTTTATTGAATGGTTCAATCACCTTAGTCATAAACACTTGTGAATCATCCTGAACTCTTCCTTCTCACTCTCCTCCACACATCCAATTAATTATTAAATAGCTCTATTCTTCCTAAGCAGTTTGAGTCAATGCCCCTATTTTTTTCCTATCTGACATGACTGTCCTCTCATTTATTCATCATTGTTCTACTTGAAATATTACAATAACCTCTTACCTTTGTTTACCCTCTACTAATCCCAGTTACTCATTGTTTTTCTATCTGAAATATTACAATGGTATCCTATCTTTGTTCCCCTCCCAGTTATCTCAGTTATTCAGTGAGATTCTTTCCTTTATTTGCCTTATATTTATCCTGGGGTGGG